GGTTTGGCAATACCCAATAGAAATCAACAGTTTAGAGGGTAGGTTTCCCAGTATAATTTTGATGTTTACACATTCTAGGATGGCTAATTCGTCTGATTCACTTTTTGAAGTACACATAACTCTCGGATTTAAATTCGAAGTTTCCGCATTTATTCTGTTTACTCATTTTACTAGTTTTTATTTACATCAGCTTCTTGAAAACGTAATTAGAGATTTTTATCTCACTTTCAGATAAAAATAAAATATTAATGCTTCGAAATCTTTTGAATTCTTTGTGGAATCTTTTTCTTCGACTGAATCTTTTCGAAACACATTCAAGTGATGTACGAAGTGCTCCGATAGAAAAACTTGCAACACGTATATATATTGTATCATTGATTAATTTCCTTATCATTATTGGTATTATTTCTGCATTCATTGTTCGTACAGAGAATGGTATTGAATATACACCTTCGAATGAGAAATTTATACAGCTGGCAAGAATATATCCAAATACACTTCAATGTCGATGTTCAAAAGTTGGAATCGCCTATGAAACTTTTGTGAAAACTAATGTCGATTTTCATCAAGTATGTTCAAGTAAATTTATTGAACAAGAATGGATTGACTCGATCTCCATTGAAAAAAGTATTTCTTTGTCAGCTACATCTGACGTGCGATACTATCTTAGTTTTTTCTGGCAAGCAATTGCAGGTTTTTGTACTCTGGGTAAAAACACATGGATGAATGCTATCGCAAGGTTTGAGAAGTCGTATATTCTTAGTCCCATAGCGGTTAGAGAAGAGACTCTTCGAAGCAATGCTTTAAAAGATTTAGAAAACAGTATTTCTTCGGCTCGGGTAGCATTATCTCGCAGTTTACTTACCATCCGACGAACAATGACTACAAATCAATTCGTATCAGCGTTGGAAACCAACTTTTATCTTGATTATCCACCATCGGATTTCTACACTTGGGATCATCCGAGATTTTTTCCTGTAGTATTCGACAATTGTTCGTGTTTGATTCTTACTGGATGTCCACATCCAGCTCTTGTCAACAATAGTCGCGGTGAGTTAGTTGCTGTTCCAGGA